CCAGATAAATGCTCTTAGAATAACTGGAATGTTAGGGAACATCACATGGACCAAAGCATGCTTTTTATAGCTTGAGTACTTCATACTGTCCACATCTCTCGCACCCAGTGAAACAGAAACTGCCACTGGTCTTCCCCACCCCTCCAAATCAGAAACAGAATAAGAGTACACACATGATACTGCTCTTGAGGAACTCTTGACTGAACACGAATCATAAGCCAGATCATTCATCATCATGATCTGGATAATTTCGAATGTCCTACATAATATTAAAAAACTACTAGCAAAGGGGAAAAAAAATTCCTAAATTCTGATATTTGACAATCATGTGTTCACCTATTTAAAAATTCATTTGAGCACCTACTGTATGCCAGGCACTATGATAAAAATGCATAATTTTCAAACAATTTAAAATTAATCTAGTCAAGAGAGTTTTAAAAAATAAATACAATGAACTAAGGTTTGCATACTCAAATACCCCTTGAAAAAGCATTAAACTTATCTGAATTCTAACTAGTAGTATTTTGTGTTGTTCCAGAGTTACTCTGAGGAAAGGGGATATTAGCAATTGTTTTACCTGTCCTCATGACTTCCAGTACGCACATCCTTCATGGCAGCAAATCCACAAGGCACTCTAGCATATTTATTTAAATTTTCAATAAGTGTTTTCCCTACTTCAAGGTAGTAAGGATCTCCTGTAGCCTATTAAAAAGGAGAATATATGTGTACATATATATATAGCTTATATATTTCCATATACTCATTCACTTATCAAATATTTATTGAGTACCTACTAGGTGCCAGGCACTATATCAGGCACTGGAATGCACGTTGCATAGAAACTAGCTCTAAAGATAAGCCATGGCTCTGCTTTACAAAATTTCTTAAACACACAAGTGGAAACTTGTCCAACTATACATATATACACACCTTAGCCTTTAGATTCAATTTCTAATGCCCAGAAAGTATGCCTTATTGAAGAAAGGTAAAAGACATGCTTTAGAAAACAGGTCTAGAATAGAAAATTTCTCCTTAAAGAAATGCCTACATAAATATTTTAAGACATAAAACTTACATGTCAATTCTTGCATCTTTCAATAACTCAACGGACTAGATAAATCAGTATCGTGATATTTCCAACCATTATAACATTAAACAAGGACTCTGAAAACCCAATTACTATTATA